AAAAGGTCATAGTATAGTAAGGCATAAAAAGTCATAAAAAGGTCATAGTATAGTAAGGCAAAAAAGGTCATAGTATAGTAAGGCAAAAAAAGTCATAAAAACGACATAGTATAGTAAAGCATAAAAAGTCATAAAAATGTCATAGTATAGTAAGGCGTAAAAAAGTCATAGTATAGTAAGGCATAAAAAGTCATAGTATAGTAAGGCATAAAAAGTCATAAAAAGGTCATAGTATAGTAAGGCAGAAAAGGTCATAGTATAGTAAGGCAAAAAAAGTCATAAAAACGACATAGTATAGTAAAGCATAAAAAGTCATAAAAATGTCATAGTATAGTAAGGCGTAAAAAGGTCATAGTATAGTAAGGCATAAAAAGTCATAAAAACGACATAGTATAGTAAGGCATAAAAAGTCATAGTATAGTAAGTCATAAAAAGTCATAGTATAGTAAGGCATAAAAACGTCAATAAACATCATAGTATAGTAAGGTATAAAAACGTCATAGTATAGTAAGGCAAAAAAAGTTTAAAAAAACGACATAGTATAGTAAGACATAAAAAGTCATAAAAATGTCATAGTATAGTAAGGCGTAAAAAGGTCATAGTATAGTAAGGCATAAAAACATCATAAAAACGTCATAGTATGGTAAGGCATAAAAAGTCATAAAAACGACATAGTATAGTAAGGCATAAAAAGGTCATAGTATAGTAAGGCATAAGAAAGTCATAGTATAGTAAGGCAAAAACATCATAGTATAGTAAGGCATAAAAAGTTATAAAAAAGTCATAGTATAGTAAGGCATAAAAACATAGTATAGTAAGGCATAAAAACATCATAGTATAATGAGGCATAAAAACGTCACAGTATAATAAGGCATAAAAAGTCATAGTATAGAAAGGTATAAAAACGTCAATAAACGTCAAAGTACAATAAGGTTAGGTTACAGTAAGGATCCGTAATTTATTGAAAATGTTGTGAAGTGTTAGAAAAGGGTTCAGGACAAAACAGAAACAGTCATTTATTGATCTCTTTATATATCGAGAAGAATGATGTACATACAAGTTACCACTGTGTGAAGGAATCCTTCCTGGTGACCACATTTTACACTTTAACCATGTCAGACTTACAACACGTGGTGATACAACTGTTCCTCATGGGACTACATCACATCCATACATGACATGTGTGAAGATGAACTCATACTAAACATTAACTCATGTTGTACAGTATATCCTTATTACCTCTGTCCCACTGAGAGACACTCACCAGTTTATAGTGAGTGACATGTGAGTGTGACACTGCATTTATGACTGGACTTCATTCAAAGACTTGGCAACATATTTCCCCCATACGTTTACCACAACTGCTGCAACCAGACGATCCAGAAACAAAACAAGCTGAAGGCAGAAGAATAACAACTTTTTAATGAGTGTCACTTTCATCTTTATTGTTCAGTATCAAGTCTAAAAGAGAAGATATTTACATGACCTGAGGGGTCAGAGCAGATCCAGGACCACAGGATTAGTACAATCCTACAGACGCTGACCTCGGATCAGTACTGCTGGTCACAGTCTGTCCGGCCCAGTTACAGTCAGAGCTGCTCTCCTGCGGGGAGCTGTGGGACAGGAAGAGTTTGGTACGATCACATCCTCTGTCCTGTTTCCTGTCCCGTCCTCCTTCCTCTCGTTTCCTGTCCTCTGTGTTTTCTGCTTCTCTTGTCGTGTGTTTGTTTTCCTGTCCTGCTGTAAACTCAAGTGGGGAGGGAAAGGTGACAGTGTACCCCCCCCCCGGTGCATCACTATTGATAATGAAACATTTTACATCACCGTCACTTGAATGTCTTATCTCTGCTTGGCCACACACCCATACACTCTCTCTCCTGCTTCAGCTACAATACAATTATGAACTAGGTTTTAATTACACACCACTTTTAATTGTTGGCCGTGGTCAACTTCATCATCATCATCATCATCCACATCATCCACATCATCATCATCATCATCATCATCATCATCATCCAGTGTTTCCAGGTTTGACCGACATAGAGAAAACCCAATCAAAGCCTGTGATCAGCTCCTGTCTGTGCATCATGGATTCACACACTGTCGCTGATTAAAGTGACGCTGGAGAAAAGCTGAAACCAGGCGGATTCTCAATGAAGCTCTGAAGTAGAAGATGCGTCTTTTTCTATGATTTCAGGGCCAGTGAACGGACGTGTGATCACCATGGACGTCAGAGATGATCATATCCTTGTGAGGTGTGGAAGTATCCTCCTTAAACATCTCCATGAGCTGTATACTGTCTTAATAAGTAGCCAGACTACAGTCACACACTTCCTGTTACACCTGTATACACCTGTCCTCTTCACCTCACTCAGTATCTTTACCTCTCTCTCCCTCTGCTCCTCCCTCACAGTTTAAACCTCTGACACAGCTGATCTGTTCGTAGGTGGAAAATGATCACGACCTGACCAACTTCATTTTTATGTCCAGTTAAAGAACTAGAACCACCTCCTCGTGGTCGTATCCCTCCGCCACTCAGACTAGTTCTAGGTCACTTCCTGTTTATCCAGAATCAGAGACAATATGAACCATTGGTGTGAAAGTTTCTGTCTTGAGTCATGGCTAAAAAAGCTTTTTGTGAAGTCACACTGACCTTGATCTTTGACCTTTGACCCCCAAAATCTAACCACTTCGTCCTCAAGTCCAAGTGAACGTTTGCATTTCACAAATTTGAAGAAGTTCCATCACAGTGTTACTGAGACGTCGTGTCCATGAGAACAAGACGGACGGACAACCTGAAAACAAAATGGCTGCCGTTCCGACTGTCACACAGAGGAATAAAAAGTAGAAAAAAAAAACACCAGGTGGACGGTGGACTGTGGACCCCCCCCCCCCTTCATTTTTCATTTTTTTATTCAAAAGGGAAAAATTCACCAAAACATGAAGCGTCTGCAACTGTGATTTACAGTCTGTTCCTGTGGGTTCCTCGGGTTCTGTCGGGTTCTGTCGGGTTCTCTTGTTTTGTTTTGTCTCCTCGTCGTTTGTTGTCTTGTCCATCTTGTCTTTTTGTCTCATTAGTCGTCTGTCATCATGTCGGGTTCAGTTCTCCGTCACGTCTGACTGTCGTTCCTCAGCTAGCTGTCGGGGAGGCAGATGACTCCTCCCCTCGGAGACTCCACCATGTCTGGTTGGCTGGAGAAGGGCCTGGGAGTTATCGACCCGCCCCCTACCAACACCCCATTGTCGTTCTCTGTCCCAGCATGCATCCTGCCCGACGCAGACAGCAGCCGGACGTCGGAGTGTGCGTTGGCCACCGTGTGGCGCCGCACCCCCCCCACCTTCTCCAGGTAAGCCTCGCCCTCCTGCTCCACCAGGGGGGCCAGAGACGACGAGTCCGAGGAGCTGTGATGCTGAGTGATGGTGATCTCTGGCTGGTCGCCTAGCAACAACCCCGACCCCGACGACCGCAGATGACGGGACTCTGGAGGAAGAGGACAGACAGGAAGTGAGTGATTCAACAGATTCATGTTGCAGGTGATTTTACAGGGTTAAAGAACGACACTGTGCTGATGTGAACAAATACTGAGTTTGATTTTTAAACTTTGACTCTTTCATTTGCCTTTTTTAATGAAGGAATTAAAATGTGTCTCTTCCTGCTGCTTCGTCTCAGGTGACCTGTGTCCGCTCATATATTAATATTATGTAAGAGATCAGAGAGTTCCTGAAGTGGCCACCTGCAGGAAACCCTCAGTGCCGGTCTGCTTCACAGCAGGGATTAGACTGTAATCAAATCAGGCTCAGGCAGCCTCCGTGACGTGGTGCGTTTAAGGCTCTGGCAGCCGCCGTGACGTGGTGTGTTTAAGGCTCTGGCAGCCGCCATGACGTGGTGCGTTTAAGGCTCAGACCAAAGGTTTGCTGTTTGTTCGTGGGGCTGAATGAAGGAAGTTCACATTCCTCCTTAAAGGAAAGCTGCTGCGCTTCAGGAACCGAGCAACAGACGGATAAAAGGATTCAGTCTGTTACACTGCAGCAGCAGGTTCCTGTTAGCATCTGTTAGCCACACTGCTAACAGTCAACGACACTGGACTTTTTCTGTTTTACATGTTATTATGTTAATAATTTGTGAACTTTGTTAGCATCTGTCTTTTCTGAGAATTTCTTTTAGGTCGAATGAAGAAAATGAAAAGCTCCATATTTTCCTCTTCTCCTGTGTTTTAATGGAATAAGAAGATCCATAATAAGAAGATTTATTTGTGGTTTTAAGAACCAAAACTCATCAAACGTCTCTGCTGCCTCCTGCAGTGATATCAGTTTGTGGCAGCAGCAGCTCGTGCAGCTTCATGTGCTGCAGGAACAATGAAAAGGAGAAACCAAGAGAAACAAGTCGTAACTTAGCAACCCCTCTGTGGAGTGTTGTCTGGTTGTTGGTTTGTCACAGTGACAGTGACTGACTGTGACACTGTGGCTCCAATGGGACAAAACAAACATGGACGCTGTGAAACATCTCCAACAGCCTCTCGCCAACAAACCTGTGCTCAAACCTGTCCTCTCTAATACTATCAGTAGTACCAGTAGTACCAGTAGTATCAGTAGTACCAGTAGTATCAGTAGTATCAGTAGTATCAGTAGTACCAGTAGTACCAGTAGCATCAGTAGCATCAGTAGTATCAGTAGTATCAGTAGTACTCACCTAACAGCTGCTGGTTCCTATTTTGCAGAACGTTGCTAAGATACGGAGACACGACGATCTCCACCAGACGCTCCAGCTGGTAATACTCCAGACTGGGTGCACCGGACTCATGGATACCCTGACACACAGAGACAGAGGGTGAACACAGGGCAGGAGGAGGAGGAGGAGGAGGAGTAGTAGTAGTAGTAGTAGTCTACAGTTAGAGACAGTGGAGAGAGGAAAGAAAACGAGGGGGAGTCAGATACAACAGAGGCTCCTGGGATTGGAACCAGGGACTCTGAGGTTCAGGGCTGAGACGTGGAGCAGCACAGAGATGAGAACTCGTCAGTGAGAGTTAATGTTTCTGAAGAGTGACGACACTTTGCTTCGTCTTTGCCTCTGCAGAGGACGGGATGAGGGTTTAGACCCGGGTCAGACTCTGTTCAGGTTAGACTCACCACTGAAGGTTAAAGAAGAGGGAGGCGAGGAAAACAATGAGTCTGGTCAAATCTTCACACAGTCGACTTTAATGAAAGTGTCATTCAGGAGAAGCTGCTGATGCAGCAGGACAATGACCCGACACATCCCAGAAAGTCAGAGTCTAGACCTGAACCCAGTACAGCTGTACTTGTAGTGTGTGTGTGTGTGTTTACCTGCAGCACCAGCAGCATCTGTGTGACAGGTGGGGGGACGGAGGCGGCGGCTCCCAGAGTTTCCTCCAGGTGCAGCTTCAACAGAACCAGGTCTCTGAAGGCCAGCAGAGCCATCTGCCTCACTGTGAGCTCCTGACCCTGAACACACACACACACACACACACAGCAGGTTAATCCACTGACCTCTCCACTCAAATGATCCCAATTGATTTAAAGATTTGAATCTGCACCTTTACTCCCTCTAGTAACTGTGTGTGTGTCTGTGTGTGTGTGTGTGTGTCTGTGTGTCTGTGTGTCTGTGTGTTGTGTGTGTGTGTGTGTGTCTGTGTGTGTTGTGTGTGTCTGTGTGTGTGTGTGTCTGTGTGTGTGTGTGTGTGTCTGTGTGTGTGTGTGTGTGTGTGTGTGTGTGTGTGTGTGTGTGTGTGTGTGTGTGTGTGTGTGTGTGTCTGTGTGTGTGTGTGTGTCTGTGTGTGTGTGTCTTTTTGTGTGTCTGTGTGTGTGTGTGTGTGTGTGTGTGTGTGTGTGTGTGTGTGTGTTACCTGGACGGGGTAGAAGATGGCCTGCAGGGTGGGGAGGGTCTCTGTGAAGAATCTGTCCCACATGTCCGCGAGCACGGCGAGCTGATCGTCACCTACAGGGACAGGAGGCAGGTGGTTACCATGGAAACACATTAACTAACAACACCACAGCAACACAACACGTGGTGATGCAACAGAGAGGAAGTGAGTTTAATGTTGGTGTTGTGTGAGTGTAAACAGCTGATCACATCAGACTGAAGGTTATTGATCCGTGATCAGAGCAGCTTTCAAACAGCAACAACACACACACACACACACACACACACACACACACACACACACACACAGAACAACATTAGAAATGGACGAAACACCCTCCACCAGGCAGGTTCATGTTTAACCAAAGGACCCGAATTTCAGAATAAAAGCCTGAGCTGTAATAAGAGTGAGTGTGATCAGGAACCAGAACACGACTGAAGGAGAGTCAGTGAACTGCTGAAACACACTTCCTGTTTGAGACATTAAAGCTCTGTTTAATTTTTAATTTCTCCTGCATCATCGTCAGTGAATCAGACTCAGAAACCACGAACCAGTCTCACCGGAGTGGAGGAGGATCTGGTCCAGGACTTCAGAAAGACCTCGAGTCAGCAGCTGGTTCTGAAACACACACACACACACACACACAGTAAATACATGAAGTCATACATGTACCTGTACAGGACACAATCCAGCGTCATTCATCAGCCACTTTTTAAACGTCAGCTGAGCCAGTATAATCAAAGAATCACAGATGGTTCTTCGTACACATCAAGTCAGTAGCTGTGCTCATAACCCCGGCTCAGTGTAACCTTCATTATATTTCTGTATTTTATCATTATTATTATTATTATTATTGGTAAGAAATTACTCAGCCTGCAAACCTAAAAGCAAGCTCACAATGAAACAGCACACACACTAAATATTAATAATAATAATAAAAACAAACAACAAAATACCTTCATTTATTATATCATTATTATTCTTTTCTAATTATCATTTTGCTTCTACGGCCAATTTGCAATTATAAAATACCAGCACCATAAAATACAATTAAACTTCAAGTAAAACTTTCATTTGTCCTTAAATCCATTTCTATAAGCTTCTTCTACGACAGAGATCAACAGGTGTTGTTGAATTGTTGTTTATTATTGTTTAATAATAAACAAATATTATTGTTTGTTGGTACAAAGCTTCATTTACATGAGGACAGAACCAGAGTGAATACATCATCATACACACACACACACACACACACACACACACACACACACACACACACACACACACACACACACACACACACACCCATGAACACTAAATTATATTAAACCAATCAGGTCATGTCCACCATGTCTCATTGTGCGTCCCCTCAGGTGTTTCTGACCTGTTAGTGTTAATGAATCCCTCTGCACCAGAACCACCTGAGAATGACTTTCTATGACAGCAGAGGAACCAGCTCAGGTAACCTATCAGCTGATTACTTCCTATAAACCTGATCGGTTTATAAGCTGTTGCCCACAGCGACACAGCTGTCAGCGTCTGTTACCCCGAGCAACTGCTGCTGTAGAGGAGAGAGAGAGACTCGGAAACCAAACAGTGATTTCAGCTGCCTCATTATCTGGAAGCACGTATATGTGTGTGTGTGTGTGTGTGTGTGTGTGTGTGTGTGTGTGTGTGTGTGTGTGTGTGTTGTGTAAATGTGGTGTCAGAGAGAGAGATTAGCTTCCTGTGCAACAAATCAACAACAGACACACACTGAACCTGTGCACCACACAGACCTGAACGGACTGTGTCAATGAGACAGAACAGAACCAGCAAATCAGATTCCTGCCGCCCCAAACCCTCACTACAGCACCAAATGTGGATTAATCCGCTGCTGAAAATAGTCCCCAACAGATGCTCGATTTCCTGTTTGTTTGATAAAAACTACAGTGAGCAGCTGTTTGAGGAAATGAAACTTAGAGTCACAGAGTCACAGTAACACTTTACATTAAAGCTCCTCCAGTGTAAAGGTCTGTGTCCATGTGTAGTGTGATTATAGATCAGCTCTAGCTTCTATATTAATACTGTGAAAGTATCAAAGCCTCAGTCCACAGAGAAATGCACACAGCCTGTATTCAGAAACTGAGCCTTAAAACCAGCCGTCAGGACTTCTGGAACTTTGTGATGTCACAACAAAGTAAAACTACACTGAGATGGTTTTTATATCTTCTGATGGATCAACACTTTAAATAAAAGACAGAAGAAGAAACATGGAGCTTTAAGTCTGAGTTTTTATAACTTATGATCAATATATAAAGATGTAATTACAGGTTCTAATAGCTGCTTATAAACTACATTAGAGTGAGTAATAAACCATTTATTAAATGTCTGTATCCTGCTGTATAAAGGCTGAAGAGGGAACTTAATGTGACGTGTCATCATTTTCCTCAGTGAATCGTTCAGTGAATAAAACATTTGTCTCTACAGCTGCTGGATGACTGTGATGGAATGAGGTTCAGACGTTCATGTTCCCCTCAGGATGAACCGTAATAACTCTGCTGCTCCAAACAGGAAGAGCTGTAACGTGTGACCTCGAGGGCGGCCGAGGTCAAAGGTTAGATCGGTGAGGACAGGACGGACGCTGCTCTGTCTCGGGATGAGACGACCCAGGAAGAGGATGTCCGTCCGCCTCGCTGCCGGAGCTCACGGCGAGTAACGACAGTGTAAGAGCTGCAGCTTCACCACATTCACATTTCAAAGTCAACCACGTGTTTCTGCTCATCAGCCGTGCGGCTAACGGGATGAAACGAGATGAAGATCTGTTCATGAAATGTAATGAATCATCTGAGAAAAGCACTTCCCTCTTTGTGATGGAGAAACACATGACACACATGATAACGAGGTTTAGACTAATTATAAAACATTCTGCTGTGTTGTGCTGCTCAGTGAGGTCGAGCAGCTTTAACTCCAGCTCAGGATTTTACAGTGAGATCTAAACCTGAAGCGTGAGCAGAGTGTCATGAGTTCTCATGTTCACGCCTCAAACAGGAGCTTTATTTTACATCTAATGTCTCTGTCTTGTGCATCCTGTTTGATAACGAGCTGTTAATCAGGCAGGTATTGTTGTTTAGTTACTTGGTTTCTCTGTTTGGTCTTTTATGTATTAAGTATTTACTTGTTTCTGTTTCTGTTCTTATTTCACTTCTTGCTGGACGCCTGTAACTGAATTTGCGTCACTGGTCCTAAATTGTTTCTGTCTGATCTATTTCAACTAATCAGATTCATTATTTTCTCACTCAGGCTTTAAATGGATCATGAAGTTATTGAATAAAAAGAGAAACAGAGGCTCCTCACGCTCGCTGCTCCGGTCAGTAGTTTCTGTCCAGTTCACTTGGACCAGCTGAGAACCGGTCTGGTCTGGAAGTCACCAGGTTCACGCCGTGTCACATGACCACGCAGACTGAACATGTCGAGTATGAAGTGTTCAAATCAATGTTCAGTCCTGGACTCGGATCTGAAACAAGTCCACACTTGTCTCCGAGCAGAGAGGACAGATAAACATCTTCACAGTCGACCGCCGGCTCAGCGTCACGCCATCGCCTCAGAGCGAAGGTTTCCGCTGCCGCTCTCTGCGTCTGACGCGTCTGGATTCAGTTTTACACCGACACCTGCTGCTTCTCTCTCAGACCCGCTGCAGGTTTCCACGCCACGCTCAGTCGGCGTGCGGGTGTGACATCACACAGCTGCACGTGTGAGTGTGAACGCAGCAGATCACGAGGATTCATGTTCTTCTCAGGGTCACATGACCGGGCCGCTCTCTGCTGGAGCCAGACCAATCGATCAGCCGTCTGATATTGGTTGTGAATTGGTGAATATCTCTGCGTCGTGGTCACAGAGGAGGAGCGGCGCATCGAGGCGCCGACACCATGTTTTAATGTCACGACTTTTACTGAACTGGATTTGTGACAGTTCATTCATTCTGCACCGGAGCTTTCATTCCTCTGATCCTCTGTTCTCCTCATCCAGTCTCATCCTGTAGAGGCTTTTTATTCTCGCTGACTTCAGCTCAGCTCACATTTCAAGTTGAGACGTGACATCACAGAAATGATTTGTGTTGCAGCTGTGGGACAGTTGGTCCTGAGCTAACATGTTAGCAGCACATATCTCTGCTCCGGGTTGTTTCAGAGGTGATGCTCCCTGACCCCCCCCCCATTCTGTATGTTTTTGTTATATATGTTTAAATAAATAAATAAAAAAAACATCTGTTTTATCCAAATGTGTCAGATTTATTTATTTTGCGTTTTTTAAATCCTCTAATTACTCTGCTCCTTTTAACCCTCTCCTCACATCTTTAATGCCGTATGTAAAGAACTGTGTGTTGCCTTGTTGTTGACGTCATATATAAATAAAGTTTGTGTAACAGCAGCGTGGAGTCCTGCACAAAACTAAAAACTGTTGTGAGATTTATGATTTATGACGATTCAAACTTTTGCAGCTGGAATGTTTCTGTGCTCCGTCTGCTTATTTAGATTTTCTCTGTTTTACTGAATGTAAGAAAATAAGGAAAAGAATTACACACAAATATTCTATATAATTACTGTATGAAGAATAGAGGCGTCTGATCAGTAAAAGACTTGGAGAGTAAAGCTGCAGCGTTTCCACTCTTATTTATCCACTCAGTAAATCTTCTTCAGAGCATCTTCTCAGTATATATTATTATATATATTATATATTATATATATATTATATCATATATTATTATATCATTATTATAATGTTTCTGTTCTGATCATTTTAAAGATGAACATTAAGAAATATCTCCTCACAGATTAAACTAAAGTTTAACAGCAGCAAACACGACGAAGGAAGAAGATCAACCACATCAGCATCAACTGATGTTTCCTCTGATTATAGATCCAGATGTTGGTTTGTGTTTGTGTTTGTGTTTGAGAAGCAGCTGCTGAACGACACTCAGTCTCACCTTCAGGTTTTATTCAGTGAAAAGAGGAAGTGAAGAAGTGAACGTACCTGGAAGTAGTCGGTGATGAAGGAGCCCATCTCTGTTTTTAGGAGCCACCTGCAAAGACACAGAGGAGGTCAGGAAGGAAGGAGGAGTGAGTCACACACACACACACACACACACACACACACACACACACACACACACACACACACACACACACAGTTATCAGTGAGATCATTCTGAGGAAACCTCAGCCGTTATCCAGATGACATCAGTAACACGTCCTGTTCTGTGTGTTTAGTTCCTTCACTGTTGTTCTGTCTCTGAGCTGTAACTCATGATTATCTTCATTATTGATTCATTTGCTAATTATAATAAATAATCCTCTTTCCAATGAAACGTCAGTAACAGAGAGAAGTGCTCGATGGATCAGATTCTCCAGAATCTAAGACGTTTCATTAAGCGACTGAAGCAGCTGTGACACCGTCACATTTAAGAAGTCAGTGAAACTGTCTGTGTTTTTAACTGTGACCCGACAAAAGGCTTCAGGTTAGAATGAGCTGATGATTCCTGCTGACCGGACAACAGACAGACAGAAAGAAAGACAGACAGACAGACAGACAGACAGAAAGACAGAAAGACAGAAAGACAGAAAGAAAGAAAGAAAGACAGACAAAAAGACAGACAGACACAGACAGACAGACAGACAGAAAGAAAGACAGACAGACACAGACAGACAGACAGAAAGAAAGACAGACAGACAGAAAGAAAGACAGACAGACAGACAGAAAGAAAGACAGAAAGAAAGAAAGAAAGAAAGAAAGAAGGAAAGAAAGAAAGAAAGAAAACACAGGAACAGTGTTGTGACTTTATTAATAACGAGGCTCATTGTTTATTCCATCATTCTGTATTAAAAGTTATTTTCTTGAGCTGCTGTGACGCGATCTGATCTCTGCTGTTTCCTCCAGCGCTGCGTTATTATCAGATCATTGTTGTTACTGCAGCTAAAACTGGCTTCAACCACTGATCATCACTACAGCTGCAACGATGAGTCCATTTAGGAATTAGTCAACCCACAGGACATCAATAATCAATTATTTTGATAATCAATGAAGCGTTTAAGTCGCTAATAAAGAAAGAGAATTGTTCTCTCTGTTTTCTCTCACAGTAACTGAAGCTCTGGGGACAGACGTGAAGACGTCACCTGGACTCTCAGGACCTGGGACGAACATTTTTCACAAATTTCCCAATAAATAATCAATGGATTCTTTATTTAAAAATTAAAAAAACAGTTTTTCTTGTGTTCGTCAGTCGACTCCTGAAAAGTATAAAACTTGACTTCTCAGTGTTTCATCATCAGCTCATCGACACTTTCAAGAGAAACGGGGAAAAGGACTTTGTCACCTGATGCTCTCGTTAAGCGTGAACAGCTCGTTAGTCTGCAGAGCTCCGCCCTGGAACACCTTGACCACAGCTGATTGGACGCTGAGGGACACACAGACAAACACAGGTGAGATGAACAGGTGGTGTGTGATGTCGGCTCCGTGTCCTCGCAGGGAGACAAACTGAGACCTGAGTCCTTGTTGTGGCAACATGAGAACAGAAACTATCTATTACAGTCATCTCCCATAATTCACTGCTGCAGTCGGACACGACCACGGATCTGAGAGTGGGGTCGGCGGGCGGCGGTGCCCGTATGTGACTCAGCTGGTTGACAGGACGTGACCTCGGCTGCCACTTCCACTTCCTACCAAACATCCTGCTCAGAGCTGCGGACAGCAGGAAGCAGGCCGCAGACTCAGAGCTGAAATAACCTCAACACACACACACACACACACACACACACACACACTCTGAGCTGAACACATCAGGTTGATAAAGACTGTTGTTTAAGTGTGTGTGTGTGTGTGTGTGTGTGTGTGTGTGTGTGTGTGTGTGTGTGTGTGTGTCTGGTCCGGGCCGAGGTCTCATTCTGACTTTTCTCAAACGAAACATCTGAACATAAAGTTCTATTTTTTCATATTTCATATTATTTTGTTCACCTCATTTTAACTGCCATAAAAACATATTTATGTTTGTCATTTGATATTTCTTCTTTGCACACATGATCGATATGATTTATTGGTACCACTTTACGATCAGACGAGCCTTATAAAGGATTTATAAATGGTTTATACTGAGGTTATTAATTTGGTTATTAACACTTTATAAATCATCAATAAAAAACAAGCTGTGACACAGACTCCTGACCTTCAACACCTGATCTTCCCTCTGAGGTCTGGAAAATATGAGCAAGCACTTCTCCCTCTTTCTTAAGCCAATGTTTGGACCCATAACACACACACACACACACACACACACACACACACACACACACACACACGATAATATCTGTATTTGTGTCTGAGGGGTTTTGGACTCTAGACACTGAATCATGAAGCTGATTTCAGTTTTTTTATTCAGTCTTCACTCGACAGCAGAGACATTATGAACCGGGGACGTGGACGTTGTTGGACACTGATTTGATCCCTACGTCAGCAGGTCACTCTGGACTCACCCTGAGTTCACCTTCAGTTAAAGCGTCTTCAGTGTAAAGGTCTGTGTCCATGTGTAGTGTGATTATAGATCAGCTCTAGCTTCTATATTAATACTGTGAAAGTATCAAAGCCTCAGTCCACAGAGAAATGCACACAGCCTGTATTCAGAAACTGAGCCTTAAAACCAGCCGTCAGGACTTCTGGAACTTTGTGATGTCACAACAAAGCAGTCACCAAGCCCCGCCCACCTGGACCCACCATCCAAACCTTGCAGGATTTGGTTTGTCTGAGTGTTTTTACCTGAAATCTGCTGTATTTTTATTGGATCACTCAGAAAACAGTCAGCCAATCAGCAGAGAGGCTCAGAGCCTCCTCTCTTCTGATTGGCTCACCGACCTGTTGTTACTAGAGCTCCAGAGAGAAGCCTGAGAGAGGAGATGTGAAACTACACTGAGATGGGTTTTAACTCTTGCTGAACTAACTTCCTCTTCAGTCTAACGAAGCTGATGCTGATTGTTGGCTGCACTTTGACAAACTAAATTTTTAACTTTTGTTGTTGTTATATTTAAATATCTATTGTACATATTACTATATTATTTATCTTCTTTAAGTACTTGATATTGTCATTTTGCATTTTTCTTTCTTATCGTGTCGACTTGCTACTTTCCTCACTGTGCGACTAATCTCATCAATCTCATCTTAAATTTTAAAATCATCAACTCTTTAAAATGTGGTTATTTTATGTAACAGTTTCCTGTGACTTATTTGGCTCACAAACGTTTGTGTTCAGATATATTTAGTATGACAGGTGAGGGCGGGTCTTCAGGGCTCAGGTGAGTTGAGGATCGATACAAGGAGGAAATGTAGGAAACCACAAGACACACGGAGGGAACGAGGCTCGCCACCATATGAAATGACGGTATTTTACACACGTGACACTTTGGACATGCTGACCTGTTCCACACGCTGGTGTTGGAGATCTGTAGAGAAGGCGAGCTGGCGTGGAACCGGGCGAGGTCCGACAGAACCGGAGAACTCATAAACCGGGGTCTGGGACGCCGGAAAGATCCCATCATGCACTCTGTCCGCTGTGGAGGGAGGAAGCAAAGTGAAAGTGCATCATCAGCACGTTGTGTCAGAAACTGCATCGATTTTAAAACGCTGTGAATCTGGACCCACGTGTTCAGTCCAGCATGTTCTGCACTTTCCCGCCTCACACAACAGATACGCCTCCGTTTTATCAAATGTAGAGCTGCGAGCTGATTGGCCCACCGAGCGATTAGTCAATTGTTACAAACTATTTTGATGATCAATTGATCGTTTCAAACCTTTTTTTCTCTCCATGTTTGAACTTTTCATAGATTAAAACAACTGATCGATTAACTGAGAAAACATTTAGCAGATTAATCAATATCAGAAATAATCACTCATCAAAAGAATCGATCCACACCGTGTCAGGAGACGATCACATCCACAGCCATGCTAACAGCTCTGTGAGGCTAAACATCTACATGCTAACAAGCTAATGTTTTGCAGGTGTAATATTCACCATCTTAGTTTAGCCTGTTAGCATGCTAATATTAGCTAACTAGCGGTAAACTGAGCGCACAGCTGAGGCCGATGGGAACATGTTTGGTTCTGCAGGTACCTGGTCATAAACCAAAGAACTGGACACGTTCAAATGTGACCTGATGGTGGCGCTAGAGTTCATCCTCTGGGGAACATGAACATTTGTTGAGCCATATCAGTCTGGGACAAAGTGGAGGAGCAACAGACAGACAGGTAGAGAGATAGACAGGTAAGCAGACAGGTAAGCAGACAGACAGGTAGACAGACAGATGGTAAAGAGCTCTTGACTTCACTTCTGTGCAGGTTTAACTTCCTGTTGACGGTGGTCGGGGGCGGGGCCGAGCAGCTTCAGCAGCATCTGATTTGTTTAGAAACACAGAAACATCAGTTTCCCTCGAACCACAGCTTCCTGTGTGACGGCGCGGCGCCGAGACCAGGCCGTTTGTTTACAGCGCAGAGAGGTCTCACTGCGCCTCGCTTTCCAGAGACCACAGGCGCAGACGGCCTGGCGCTCTGCTCTCAGCTCTGGTGACAGTTTCCACTCTGCAGCGCCACAGAGTCGCTTCTGTACGTGTCACTTCTGTCTGCAACCGTCTGACCCAGAGTCACTTCTTTATATTTAGTCTCTTGTTTCTCTAAAACCGACACAACCTCAGATTTATTTCTGTCAGTGTGGGAAGTTTCAGACCATTTCACTTTTTCTGACTGTGTTTCTGTGACTGAGAAAATGCTGAATGATTCCTCCTGAATGTGACTTAGTCTCAGTTTGTTCAGTAAAACTAGAAGTGGTCATGACTGCAGGGTGATGAGAGGCTCGTTGATCAAATGACTCAGCTCTAAATGTGTGATGAAGTTAAAGGAAGCGGAGCCTCAGACGCAGCGACAGTAAACCCAGGAGGAGAAAGTACGGGGGGTTTATTTGGACTAGAAACACTGTGGCTCTCCGCCCACAGGTGACTGTAACAACTTCACACCTTCGCTGCAGCTTCAGCCACAAACTCGAACATCAAAGGCGTCTCAGGCATTTACAGAAACATTTTTACAGCTGCTGAAAAAGGAGACGCCTCTGAGCTGCAGCTGAAGAAAAGATCAACAGTTACCACAGAGATCAGTTTGTCGACGGCTCCTCTCCTTTTTCTTCTCGTCTCTGTTCATGCAACAAGTTTCTAACATTTTCTACAGACGCATTTTCACCATTTAGGAAGTTTGTCTTGGAACAATACTCACATGCCCGTATGCACATTATTATGTTTTCTGTCTTTATTGTGAAAGAGACAGAGAGAGAGAGACAGGACTGAGTCTAAGTGGTAGTCGCTCTACCAGGTGACTATATATATATATATATACAGTATATAACAGGATTTTCTGGGCGTTATTGCTCCTCCTGTTTGTAGGAAGATCTCCTCCTAAAGTTTCTCCAATGTGGGAGAGGGAGGACAAAATCCACAGTCCTCATCAGGCCCAAAATTCAATATCTCGATACAGTCCGGCCCAAATATCACGATATAAAACATGTTATATTGCGATATTTCATGTGTTTTCATAATATATATAAATATATTATTATTATTATTATTATTAGACAAGTGCAGTTCAAAGTTTTATTTGTCACATGCCGAGGTTTAATGTACAGTAAGCAAGGCAGTGAATTGAGGGTCGGATTCAGCAGGAGATCAATATTAGATATTAAAAATAAAATATCGTATATACAGTATGGAGGGAAATATTGTGATATTCGATATCATTGAATATCGGCCCGAGCCTAGTCCGGTTCTGTTTAAATATATTCCCACACCAAGTATCATCCAAAGTCTTTTCAGAATAAAATGAACTCCACCATGATCCAATGATAAGTAACTGGTTCTGCAGCCAGAGAACAGGAAAAGAGAATAGGATGATAACCGAATGATATACTTCATTTCTTATCTTTAATTCATTTATATGTAATTTGTCTTTTATTGTTTGTTTGTTTTTTTCTTTTCATTGTTTAAATATTTTTACTTGTTTATATCACTCAACTTATTTTGATTCTTGTCTATAATCACTTCAACTTATTTGTATAACTCAATAATCAAAGTTATGTTTTTGATTCTGAAGCTCAACAATCTGGAGAGGAACCTGGTCACATTTAACCTCCGGAGACCAGAACCAGGCCGGATCAGAGTCCTGCTCCTCCTTCAGGACGCCCAGGTGGCTGATGGGATCTCACAGCGGTGTGTGTGTGTGTCCCACAGGCCCTCGCTATGCCGTCCCCTCTGATCACGGCCAATGGGAGGCCTCATGCTGAGCGTCAACACAAACACACTATTGTTTATCAGGCTGCGTCCTGCCAACAGCAGAGGAGGTCAATAAATACTGATTCCTCTCTCGCCTGAGAGAACGTCAGACACGAGGAAGAACCCGACTCCTCGTCTGCAGCAGAGGAACATTATCATAACATTTATTAGATTTCTTATATCATAAAACCTCTGTGGAGGTAAAACAGCATGGAAGCTTTAATCAACCAGACTTTCTAACAGTAAATCCACTGGTAGTTTCACTGGGACGAGTTCTGACATGTTGGTGCAACACCAGGATTCATTCAGTCATCTCCACAGCCAGAGAATCCTTTATCATCTCATCCAGGTTCTGTGTTCAGTCTGTTCCCTCTCTCTGACACTACAGAGAAACTAGAGCCACCTCCTCACGGTCGTATCCCTCCGCCACTCAGACTAGTTCCAGGTCACTTCCTGTTTGTCCAGAGGCACAGAAAATATGAACCATTGATGCCAAATCTGAAGAAGTTTCATCAAGGTGTCACTGAGATATCGTGTCCTTGAGAGAGACAGACGAGTGATAACTGACTCACACGGCTCATAACAAACATGGCCGACCAGCTTCAACGTTCCAGAGTCAATGAAACAACTGCAAAATGTCACATTTACAGGGGGGGGGGGTTAGCAGCTCAGCTGATCGTGGGAGGGTGAGACCAGATCTGACATACTTCAAAAAGTCTGTGTGTGTGTGTGTGTGTGTGTGTGTCCTGTGATCACTACATGTGGTCAACTGTGCACACATGGTCTGATTCCCACACACAACCTGTAGTCCCTGTCATGGTCTGAACACACACACACACACACACACACACACACACACACACACACACACACAGCGTCTATCACGTGCTAATTTGAGTCAAAGATCCAATCAGGAAGAAAAAACGACCATTGCTGCAAAAGTGGGCGTCAGGCGTCACAGTGCGTGTAAGCGTCACCATGGTAACCCATCTGGTACATGCCGAAAACCAGTCATCACAAAAAAGGTCACCCCCCCCCATCTGACATCATCCCACCCACCTTCACATCCCGTCAGTGTGTGAGGAAGAGTCCGGTCCAGCTTCATCTTCCTCCACACACACACACACACACACACACACACACACACACACACACACACACACACAGAGGCACCAAGTCACTTTTACATGAGCTTCACAAATCTCTCACGTAACAACTAGAATTATCTTTCACACCAACATCGAGATATTCAACAAAATTAAAAAGTTGTGTGAAGTCGCATCATCAGCTAAACTGTAAAATCATTTCCTGGTTATAAAACTGTAGAAAATCTACACGTGCAAAACAGCTGAGAGAGAATAATAAATAAAACCTGAACCACTGACAACATTAACCACTGCCTCCACAACAGTTCGCTCAGATGTACATCCCTGTTTATCCACAGTCAGAGTAATGGCTAAAAGGTATTTTCTTAGGTCACCGTGACCTTGACCTTTGACCTTTGACCACCAAAGTCTAATCAGTTCATAGCTGAGTCAAGGTGAGCGTTTTTACCAAATTTGAAGAAATTCTCTCAAGGTGTTACTGAGATATTGCGTTCACAAGGCCTAAACCGTGTTTTGTGAGGTCACCGCGCCCTTGACCTTTGACCCCTAAAATCAAATCAGTTCTTCCTTGATTCCAAGTGAATGTTTCTGCCAAATCTGAAGGGATTCTCTTGATGAGTTCACAAGTCCAAAATCATGTTTTGTGAGGTTATTGTGACGATGACCTTTGACCTTTGGCCACCAAAATCGACTCAGTGTGTATTTGAGTCAACGTGAGCGTTTTCACCAAATTTGAAGAAATTTCCTCAAGGTGTTACAGAGCTATTGAGTTCAAAAGGTCCAAATCATGTTTTGTGAGGTCACCGTGACCTTTCCTCCGCCGCCAACGCTCAGAGCGGCCATTTTGTTTTCAGGCTGTCTGTCCATCCGTCTCATTCTCGTGGACACGGTGCCTCAAAAACACCTTCTTCAAATTTGGCACAAATATTCATCAGGACTCAAGGATGAACTGATTAGAGTTTTGGGGGACAAAGGTCAAAGGTCAAAAAACAACGACTCCACCTCAGAAACAAACGTACGCTGTCAGTCAAACCCTGCGTGTCACCTGATGAACCGGACCACGACTGTTTCTTCTTAGTCCCGTCAGACTTGGCTTCAGGCTGGAGCGAGCTCGTCGCAGTCGCACGACCAAGACTCAGTCTAAAGTGACGACAACAGAAAGCTGGAACAGGTCCAGGGGCCGGAGAACAGAAAGAGCAGACTGAGCTCAGCTGTGTGTTGGTGTTTGTGTGCGTTAGCATGTGGGCTAATCCTATAACAGAAGCCCCCTGTCATGAGAAAGTACTCAGAGAGACTAATGGAATTACAGGCAGAGCTACAGAGCACAGAGCTGCTTCTGAGCGTCTGAGTCACAAAACGCTCATCACTCATCTCCCTGTCAGAAAACACACGGAAGTCAGTGAGGTTCAACCTCTGGGGAACATTAGTCCATCTCAGCGGTGGATCGTCGTCATCCATAAAGACAACAACAACCACACAAGCTCCCACACCCCAAAGAGACAGAGGAATACAGTCAATGCACTACAACTACAACACAAACACACAAACAACCACAACACACAGGCCACGCCCACACTGATACCGTTTCATTTTAAAACTAAAAACGATCTCCGCCCAGACTAACTAACTAAATAAGACCGTCGCCTACACTGAGCATGTGCAAGCCGGTGTAACCCCAGAGTTTTCAAACTACAACAGGCACGAAGCTTCTGCCACAGTCAGCTCTCTCTGATTTTAACTGACAAACCTAGAAAGTCCGAACATCTGAGAAGATGCAACAAGCAAATGTTTTCAGTTTTACTTGTTGCTGTTACAGATTTTCTCTCAAACCAAGTCCACAAGTCGTTTCAGGTGCTGTAAACCGTGTGAGCGTTTTAAAAATAGCATCAAGGAGAAAACGAGCAGCTTGTTGTGCAAACGAGGGATTAAACCCGTTACTGAGGCCGAGAGTAAATGTGGACTGTAGAGACGAGGGAACATGTTCAGTTTATGAAAACCTGCTGAAACTAAAGTGACTAGTTCATTCATACGATCATTTAATGATTCTCATTAAAGCAGCTGCTTCAAATCTCCTGTAAACCTTCATTACAGTTACCCACTCCCTCTTCTGTCTGACTGTATCTACATAATTAGAGGAAATTGTTTTTCCAGTCTATAAAATGTGACTCACTTCTTACTCAGACTCAAACCGTCCTGTTGCTGCTTTACTTTGCTTTGTTTTCTGCTCATGAGCAGGACCGGGTCTGTGGTCTCGGGTCTGTGTATGTGGAGCTGGTCTTTGATGGATGGATGGCTGCAGACTGCGGCGGCGGCGGCGGCGGCAGCGGCGGCTCTGGACAGAAGCCTTCGCTCTCTGACTCTAACCAAAACATCGCCTCACAGTAAACTGTCCCGAGGCTGCTGGGAACATCTGGATGTGACGTCACGCTGTCGACATGTGGTTACCAACAGGAACGAGTAACAGACACCAAAACACCAAAACCACAGAGTGGTGCCAGAACGAAGGGAACATCACCAACAGCTGTAGGGTCACCTGCCTGCAGACACGGAGCAGGGCACAACAACCTCCTGATCTACCTGTTAATCTGTCGACCTCAACTACCTGTTGGTGGATCGTCCTTCTACAAGTATGGAAGGCCATCGAATCAATATTAAACAAACAAATAAATAAAACTACGAAGTAAATCCCCAAATAATATATAATAAAAAATAATTCATAATAATAAGGTATCATATGTAGGAATATATAAGTAAATGTAAATATATAAGTGAGTTAATATATACATATACAAATGAACGAACAAATAAATTAATACAGCTATGAAATAAATCCCAAAATGAAAAATGAGGTAATACATGTAGAAATATATAAATAAATGTGAATATAAATACATAAGTGAGTCTATAAATAAATAGATATACAAACTGATAAATAAATAAGTAAATAAATAAATAAATTGCTTTTATTTATTTCATGAGACTTTTATTTTATAATTCCACATCTATTCATTTCTGAAGACTTTTGAATTTGGATGAACTGATGAAAATAAATGTGGCATTTGGAAATTAAAAGTCTTCAGAAATAAATAAATGTGGAATTATAAAATAAATGTCCCCTGAAATTTATAAAAATGTAATTTTTAAAATAAAAAGCTATTTATTTGTTTACTTTTCTATTCATTAATTTGTGTATTCTTTTATAAAGCTATTTATTTATTTATTGACTCACTTATTTATTTATATTTCGTTTATTTATACATTTCTACATTTCAAACAATTATTTACATTATTTATTTATTTCAAGATTTATTTCATAGCTCTATTTATTCATTTATGTATTTATTTAATAATGATTTAGATGGAATACAAGATCTCAGGTAACTGTAAATGTGTTCACGAGCATAAACCTTCCTGTAGGTCAACTCGCAGAAACTAAACCACCTGTTGGTCAGTCTGCAGACTCAAAAACTAACCCACCTGTGTGTCTGTAAACATAAAGACTTTAAACCACCTGTGTGTCTGTTCACAAGAAGTAAGACACCTGTCTGTCTGTCTGTCTGTCTGTCTGTCTGTCTGTCTGTCTGAGGACTCAGGGTCTGTTTACCTGTGCAGCAGACTGTGAACTACCTGCAGCTCAGGTACAGATTTGTCTACCTGTGAGTCTGCTGACAGGGACTCTGACTGGTTTTATGATGTCTGCAGGGTTGAACATTCCTCCTGTGTTGGTTTTAAATGACACACAGGTGAAGGTATTTCACTTTCCACAGTTTTCAAACGCCCACAGGTTTTTACAGTCAGTGTGTTTGTGCGGGTAAATAACACGGGGCCATGTGAAACTCACACCTGCTGTTGTTGTGCAGTGTGAACATCCTGACAGGATGTGAACCCTCGTGGCGGGTAAACTCACCTGCGTACAGTCGCTTCCCTGCTGTGTCTCTGTCGGCGGATAAAAGCGTCCTCGGTTCTCACGGAGACGATGAAAAGCTCAGCGGCTCCTCCTCCTCCTCAGCGGCGCCTCCGGCTCTCTGTCTCCGCACATCGCGACACTTTCGGCGGGAACAAACTCAAAGTGAAGCTCGGTGTCTGTGAGATAGAGAGATAGAGAACTAGAGAGAGAGAGAGCACTTCCTCCAGTAAAACTCAAACACACAAACTGAACTGAGACCAACTGCCGCTTCTCTTTATTCAACGGTCCGCAGCTAACAAGCTAAACAAGCTAACTACCCACACTTCCGGTTCTAACCTTCACAGTAAAACTCGAGCTGATAGACTGTACTAAAGAACTGTGACTGTGATACTATCTGCATGGAAGGGTCTAATTTAGTTTATTAGGTTCGTTTAGTTCATTTGTTTTGTTGTGTGACAGTTTTCAATTAACACAACTGCAGTTAATTAATTGCAATTACCTGCAGTTGTGGAAATTCACACTGTGCAAAATACCCCAGAATCCAGAGATGTAGTTTCCCAAATACTTCAAAATATGATCCGATATATATGATGAAATCTGGACTGGACGTGCTCCGATCACGGCGATGTGAGATGTCATATCAAAAAATCTCCAGATATGATTCAGATTCTTGTAAAAACCTAAAAAGGAAATATCTGGATTCTTGTGGTTTTGGCACAGTGTAACTGAATTGATGGGCTTGTGTTACAGACCCCACTGTTGGCTCATTAGGTCAGTCTTAAGCAAGTTCATTTCATGTAGGATCTATCTGAATTTTCACACACATGTAAAAGTGTTTGTTCCACAATTATTCACTCCTGAGGAACAGAGGCTTCCATTCAGTTTAAACAAATAATGATTCATCATTGTTTATTTTAGTAGCAGTAGTTCCAGTTGTTGTTATAGACATTATTACTTATTATAATGTGATACACTTTCTTACAGTGATACATATGACATGTAAATTTAAAACCAAAATAAATACTTAAGATAGACTGACACTGGGAACTAACTAACTTGTACTTACTGTGAAAGGATCTGCTGTAGGTCTAGATCTCCTGCTGCTGCTCACTTCAAACAGAGGACGTGGACGTGTTGCCTGGTGGATGTTCTGTGATTGGAGCCTCCTGTAAACAACAATTACAGAGCAGCTCAGCAGTGGCTTATTTTAGCATCTGTGGGAACAAACTGACTGTTTCTGTTCCAGATCATCACATGTTCATTAGTTACCTGTGTAATATTATTTTCATTTCACTTTCGTTTTCGATTTCGTTTTTTTTTTTATTCATTGATTGTAATTATTTTTGTGTGTTTGTGCATCTGATTGTATTTACATGTCTCTATAAAGCATTGCAACATTGATTGAGTTATTGAGATTTATTGATTTATTTATATGCTCTATAATAGGTTAACTATTAATTTCAATCAATTAATCTTCTGATTGTTTTCTAAATGAATCGCAGTCTGTAAAACAGCCCAAAACCCACAGGTTTAATTTAATGTTTGAAAAATGACAGAAATTATTAATAAAAACTCTATTTTACTTCTTTGATTAATCTAATCTAATTTCTTAAATAAGGTCATTCAATCACTCTATGGTTTACAAACACCAACGGAAATATTTTAATTATTAAAACACTTTTATTGTGAAGGACAATTAGTGACTTCCGGTATGGCTCTGATTTCAGCTTGACACAGCACGCTGCCTCCCATTGGTTCAGAGAACTTCATCTCATGAATATTCATGACGTGGTTACACGTGAACATGAAAGAGAAGTTTCAGTGACACCATTAAAGTTTATTTCAGAAGGAGATACTGCAGTTTCTACTTCATGTGTTTGACATTAGTTACTTTTCAGATTAAGATTTTACAATTTAAAACTTACATGAGTCGTTTTTCTTACAGAAATCAGAATGTACTTGTGTCTCCTTGTTTTCAGTTTCATCACAGAAACGTTTCTCCTCTAAATTTCATTTTCAATAACTGTTCAAATGATCAATAATTCACAAAAGATCAGAGAAAAGTCCAGAAACTAAATCCAGATCAGTGAACTTTATTATTTCTTTCCTCTCCAATGAATCATGTGACCACCTGTCAGATTTATCAGGTGACCCTTTGGAGGGGCCTGACCTCTAGGTTGGGAACCAAGTGTAGGCTACATGACGTAGTTAAAGCAGCATCACCTGGAGCAGCTACAACAGTAACATGACTGAGGATCAATGATCTGAGATCAGTCACTGGAGACAGTTTACTGCACAATGAAGTACTTTTACTGTGATACTATAAGTACATGAAGTCAGGAAGTACATTTTCTTTGATACTGTAACAACAGGAAATACTTTTACTGTGATACTGTAGCTACAGCAAGTAAGGAAGTACTTTTACTATGATACTGTAGCTACAGGAAGTCAGGAAGTACTTTTACTGTGATACTATAAGTACATGAAGTCAGGAAGTACATTTACTATGATACTGTAACTACAGGAAGTACTTTTACTTTGATACTGTAACTACAGGAAGCTGATTTTACAGTTGCTTATCTTGTTTTGTAAATTTAGTTTTAATACCTTTATTGCCAGTTTTTACATTATTTTGAAATCTTTGATGTTCTTCTTCACTGCCTTTTGTTGGTGCATTGCTGTGTTTACAGAGAACATATTTGAATTTGCCAATTAAGCCACAAATACGTTGATACGTACGAGTGAAACGCGACATTCAGACTCAGGAGTCGCAGTCGATCCAAACCCTGAATCACCATCATCTCACTGATCTGGTTTAAACACGTCCTACTTAGTTCCTTAACCAGCTGTTTGTTTTATATTTTACGTTTTAGAATCATAACTTATTTTTAATTCACATCACAGAAGGAAATGAAAGTTTACTGGTGTGTTAAAAGGGACCACAGTCACAGAGTTTCTTTATTAAAGCCGCTGCAGCAGATTCCACAGCAGAGTTTTTTTCTCTCATCAATAGAAAAAGAACGTGGACAGAATATTAATCATTCATTCATTCATTGAATGCATTTGTGTTTGTGTCAGACAGAGCTGCTGCTGCTTTCACACCAGAGACAACAGGGAGACTGGTCACTGAGTTTAACCAGTCGGTCACCAGTTTTTAACCAGTCTGTGATTAGTCTGTGACTAGTTTAACTCTCTGTAGTTGTTAATTAGTAGTTAGTTAGTGGATCATGACAGAGTTTTATTCACTGAGGAAACTTGTTCTGAAAGTCAGATTCCTAGTTTATTGATCTGGATCAGGGAAACGACTAACGATGATTTTATTAACAGTTAATTATCAGTTGATTATTTAATCAATAAAACATCAGAAAATGGTGAAAAACATCCACCACAGCATCTTGGAGTCCAAGGTGACGTCTTCAAACGTCTCATTTTCTCTAACAAACAGCTCAAAGTCTGAAATCTAAAGTCAAAGATTCTCACATTTTCAACATTTTATAAAAATACATTTAATATAATGTAACTGTTGCAGCTCTGATCTGATCTGATGGATAAAACCCAGACCAGTTCTTCAGATCTGAGTCACCCATATATCTCTGTAAACCAGCTTCTGTCTAACTGGTCCCAGGTCAGACGGTGGCTCCCTGCAGCAGCTGAACTGCAGAGCCCCTGTTGTGCCTCCGGGCCTCCTGCAGAGCAGAGCTCCCCCACCTGGTGGAAGGACAGAACTACATCAGACACTGTCCCAACATATAAATTATATACAATTATATACAATTATATACAATCTATGTCCAAACTGAAGCATCTCAGACACGTTCTTCAGGGGAAAAAAATCCAAAGTTTATATGAAACTATAAAATGATGAAAACACCTGAACATGAACAAACATCCAACAGGAACAAAAACTCATTTCTCTCATTTCTATGAAACAAAAACATTTTATCATTTATTCTTAAAATTTATACAATTTTTTCACTTGTTTTAAAAAAATAATGATTTGAACTCTTGTTCTGTTTGAAGATCCTGCGGAGACTCGTGGTGACAGACTGCGCTCGGCAGGTGTGGCCTCACCTGTCCTTGAGGGCGGGGTTTGCTCCAGCGTTCTCCAGCAGGAAGCGGATGACCTCTGTGTGACCTTCGGCGGCCGCCACGTGCAGAGCCGACCGGCCATCGTAGTCGACAGCATTAACGTCCACTCCAGACAGGAAGTACCTGCAGACCACCACAGAAGAAGAGACATTAATACAGCCTCAGAAATAATCGACTTGAAGCTTTGTTTTTATTCTGGCTCTAAATGTGGTTGTTGTTCATTTCCTGTTTATCTTTTTATTTCACCACCATCCAGCTCCATCTCCTGTGTGCAATGCATTATGGGAGAACAAGAGTCTGTCTGCTTCAAGTAGAAAAACCTGATTAGGGTTTGTGTGAGAATGGATTTGGGACACAGTGAAAGTCCAGCAGGGGCTGATGGGAAACTCGTTAGTGGTGCAGGTATCTGATCATAAAGCAAAGAGCTGGACAGATTAAAATGTGACCTGATGTTGGCGCTAGAGGGAAAGTTATGTAACGTTGAAATACGAAGGTTACCTCCTCAGGGACTGCACGTCTCCTTTAAAAGCCGCCAGCAGGACGTTCATGATCTGGTATCCCTGCGGAGGAGAGGAGGCCTTTTAGAAACACTCGCATAAACTGGTCTGGGATCAGAGTAAAGGACCAGAGAGGAGCTCGACCTCAGACTCAGTCTTCCACTGTCTGTAGGCCAGAATCTGCCTGAGTGGCGTCCTGATGTCGAAACTGTGCAGCTGAAACGTCGAGATCAGCTCCTACAGACAGAAGAGTCTCACTTTACTGTTACAAACCCGATGAAAGCTCAGTCAAGAAATTAATTACATTAAACCCAATCAAAAAAAAAAAAAATACTGGTTGTGTCCCCTGGTAGGTGAATATCTACTTCCTGTTTCAGGTGGAGGTGTTACCTGGCAGAAGTGGACGGCCCTCCAGGGGTTTCCACAGGCGTCCAACTCTGGAGAAAACGCCATCAGACCCAAAACACCAGGAACCACAGCCAGCAGGGAGCCGTGGCTGCTGGACGACGCCGGCACAGACGTCTGCAACACACACACACACACACACACACACACACACACACACACACACACACACACACACACACACACACATCAGATCCAGATTCATATCATCTTCATTTAAACCTGAGGGGAAGAAAGTTTTAAACAAATTGAGCTGATGTGAGAAAAAACAAATAAACAGGTAAATACATATAATGATATAATTATATAAGATAATGTTTTAGGTCGTTAATGACGTTGTTGTCCTGAGGATTTTCTCCTCGACTAGTCGACTCCTGCGGGACAGAAACATGAGGCTGGACCTTGTAGTGGAAAGCTGTGGAGTAATCCTTCATCCCCGCCACCTGCATCATGGACAGCATGCTCCGCGCGGTCGCCGGCGACAACACCTGGTCACCTGACAGCGGACAGAGCCCCCCGTTGGCTAAGGAGGCGGCCATGACGGCTCCTGACTCACAGGTGACCTCAGTTGAGGAGCACTGTCCCACAGAAGAGACACGAGGCAGTGTGAATATTTACCCAGACACCAGAAACCAACCACAAGTCCAGAGATTAAACAGCTGATTAGTGAAGTGGCAGAAAAGTTACTGTGATAATTGATGAATGGTTTGAAGTTAATGTTTTAAGAGATTATGAAAATGTTCTCAGATGTGAATATTTTCTGGTTTCCATGACAACGAACTCAGACAAAACATTTGAATCTGTTCACTGGGACATCAGATATTTTATTCACTGAACAATTAATCAGTTGTTAAAGAAAATAACTGTCATATATTATTGATAATGAATAATACGACCTCACCCGAGGAAAACTCATGAAACACAATTTAACAACAAATGTTGTTGCACATACAAGATTATTATTATTTTAAAAAGAAGGATAATTAAATTAAAATAAACTGACTGTAACCGACCTAATAATGTGGGTTATGTGACAATGTTGAAGTTATTTAGTTATTTATTTTTTGTTCTTTGTATTTATATTTACAAAATTCCACTAAACAATTGGAATAAAAGATCCTGTAGATTTTGTATTTGTGTCAGATTATTTATGACATATTATTGTGATGAACGCTGATTGGAGACTCTAGAATCAGAGACAGACCAGGTCTTAGGACTAGATTCTGACACAAGACCAGGACCAAGGCGGAGGATGGAGGACCTGATTATGAGGTGAATCTCCCACGGCAACGAGTCTCTCTACCTGCCAGGAACATAGATCTTTAAAAGGTGAGTGTTTACCTGCAGCATCAAGATCAGAGCAGCTTTGATGTCCGTCTTCTCTGGGAAACACTGGAACACAGGAGTCTGGTTAGAGGCGAACAAGAAGGACACACTCCACACCTAACGGTGACTTCTCACTTTTTAAAATGCTCTCACCTTCTTCTCCTGCAGGTAGAAGGACAGGGCGTGGAGTCTGACGCTGACGTTCCTGCTGCTCTGAATAGCTGAGATCACACAAAAACAATACACACTCAGAGCCGCTGTGTGACGCAGATACACTGTGATTGGTCCGGAGGATGTTTATGGTGTGATGTCATCACATTGTGACATCATAGTTTAAATGATGTCACATAGCCTCATTCCTTCAGATTATTATTAACAGTTAACTGCAGAGCTGTCAGTGTCTGTACCTGCTGCAAGTTCAGGTGGGCGTGCTCTTTGTTGCAGAGTCTCCGCACGACGTTCAGCACCTGCGACACACACACACACACACACACACATGCACACACACACACACCACACACCACACCACACACACACACACACACACACAAACACACACACACACACACACAGTCAGTAGTGTTGTGTGTGTGTGGTCCTTTAGTTTCCACCTGTCGTCTTCATCACTTACGAAGTCGGTACTTCTCCTCTTCCTCTCACACAGCCCTCCCCGCAAGCTGGAGACACACACAGTTAATAATTCATTTATTGATTAATTGGTTTATTAATATACAATATTAAACACATTTACACCATCAGGTAAAAATAATATTCATAAACATTCAATCTCTAATTAAAAGCGAGAAGACGCTTCATTTTCTACACTCAAAACCTTCATGGATTGAATGGATGGATGGATGGATGGATGGATGGATTAATGGATGGATGGATGATGGATGGATGAATGGATGGATGATGGATGGATGGATGGATGACTGATGGATGAGGATGGATGATGGATGAGATGGACGGACGGACGGACGGACGGACGGATGGACGGATTAATGGATGGATGGACGGACGGATGAGGGATGGATGGATGGATGGATGAATGATGGATGAATTAATGGATGAATTAATGGATGGATGGATGGATGGATGGATGGATGGATGGATGGATGAATTAATGGACTGGATGGATGATGGATGAATTAATGGGTGGATGGATGGATGGATGGATGGACGGACGGACGGACGAGCGGACGACGGAACGGACGGACGGACGGACGGACGGACGGACGGACGGACGGATGGATGGATGGATGATGGATGGAGTACCTGTAGTAAAGACACAGTAACAATGGCTCCTGTCTCAGTCAGCGGGCTGTGAGGGATCCTGCAAACAGAAACATTCATCAGACTGTTGCTGCTCTACAAGGTCAGAGTCAGAGGTCAGAGGGGTCAGGGTCGTGGTAGGATATCACACTGAGAATTTGTTTTGCTGATCACATTAAAATGGCTATAATCAACATTTTTATAATAACAATTAGGTTAACTTTTTTGTTACTTGATTTTTATGATCAGTGTAAAAAATCTTCAAATACAAAGATAATGATTGATGATCTGAGGAGAGTGATAACAATTAATCACTTCGTTTCTAAAAAGTAAAAACACTGGGAATTAAAAAGTTTCTGGAAACCAAAGAAACTGATTCTGATCAACAAGTTATTTCCATTATAAGTTTATAAATCATATGAAACAAAGAAAAAATGCAATGTTTTCTTATTTTAATTTAATAAATAATCATTATTGATTCACAAAATAATGTTCTTCAGCAGGATCAGAAACTGGAGACATCAGAGGGACGAGGGGAGTTTTAGTTTGACCTGGACCTGTCTAGTGAGTGTGAACGGAGAGTCGTATCTGGAGAACTCCTCCACACCCACGTATCTGTGGACCAGGTCTGAGCCCAGCAGGTCCACCGCCACGCCGTACACCAGCGGCCAATGACACCTCCCCAGAACCAGAGAGCCGGCCAGTCCCCAGAGACAACCTGACACACAGAGGACAGACATTTGCTGAGTCTGTCTGGATGTATCAATAAATGAATATTATCATTATACCTATTTTCAGACAACAAAAAGGAGCCAGTGTCGTTTTCTTATTTCTTATCGTCGTCAGTGATGAAGTTTTCAAAGTAAGAGTACTTCATAAAAGGACAATATTTGTCTTTAAGTGTCGTGAAGTAAAAAGTCAGAAGTTTCAAAAAATAAAAACTCAATTCAAGTACAGATACTGGAGAAATATACATATAGTACTCAAGCAGAAGTACTATGTTACTGTCCTCCCCTGTATGGTATCAGACGTACCTCGTCATCCACAGTGCAGATTGAGACTCCCCACTTGCTGCTGTCCACGCACCTCCTTCTTTCTCCTGATTGGACAAATACAGAAAAAGTCAAAAGGTTATTCAGACTGAAAAATCTAAACCTTCTTCAACACTGGCCAGACAAATTGACTCTGTCTGAATCACACTCATATAGAACATGATACTGTGACGTACTGAGCAGTTCTCAGTTTGGAGCGTCACTTCGGATCAGAAAGTCCACCAGCCTGGACGGGCTGTTTGTAGTCTTCATATCTCACACTATGTTTGGAAACTGATCCCAGAATCTAATCTGCTGACAGGTGTCTGAGCAGAACTCCACTGCACCGACGACAGCTGACGACACCTGGAGAACAACTTCTGAGTCTCTTCAGTGAAGGTAGAAAAATCTGGAATAACGAATCGTCCCTGCAGAGCTTTCAGGATGAGGGAGACGATACCTGTGACGGCACCTACAGCAGGACGCACAAACGGTTACCAAACATCATCACAACCACCACAAAGTCCACAGCTACAGTCGCTACCAAGACCGCCATCAGAAATAACAACCACGCTCACAAACATGACATATACACCACAAACACCAACCAGGTACATTCATGATTTCAGAACAATCTGCTGCAGGGGAGGGGAGAGACGGTCAGGGAGAGGTTTTACTGAAGAAGGAAGACTGAATCTTGTCCAAAGAAGCGAAGGACAGAAGGACAGAAGGAAGGACAGAAGGACAGAAGGAAAGGACAGAAGGAAAGACAGAAGGAAGACAGAGGACAGAAGGAAGGACGAAGGAGACAGAAGGACAGAAGGAAGACAGAAGGAAGGACAGAAGGAAAGAACAGAAGGAAGGACAGAAGGAAAAGACAGAAGGAAGGACAGAAGGACAGAAGGAAGGACAGAAGGACAGAAAGGACAGAAGGAAGGACAGAAGAAGGACAGAAGGACAGACGGAAGGACAGAAGGAAGGACAGAAGGAAAGACAGAAGGAAGGACAGAAGGACAGAAGGACAGAAGGACAAGAAGGACAGAAGGCAGAAGGACCTGTGGAAGGCGTTTCCTGTCCACTGATCCCTCAACGTCCTGCCAGTTTTCCAGATGGAAGAAACACTCTCTGAGCCGAGGGTCGGACCGGTGCAGGCCGGAGCTCCAGATGGCTGAGGGAGAAAACAAACGCACCCAAAGTGAAAACTCCCGACAACCAAAACATCCAACACACCAACAGCACACGTGGAAGCTTCGTGTGATTTTGGCGTGAAGAGATCTTTGATGCGTGTTGCAGAGTAAAATACCTCGAAGACTGGTTGACGTTGATCCTTCCCTCCGAGGCGAAGCTGTCGAACAGCACGTCAGCAGCTCTGCAACAACATCAGCTCTCAGACAATTCACTCAAACCTCAGGAAGAACACGATCTGACTTCCCCTTTTCCTCTGATCATAACTCAGTTATTCTTCATACACAGTTCAGAGTCCAGTGTCTGGTTCACTCTTTTATATTCATTCATAAAACATCTTCACCTTCCTGTAGCTGCTGCTGTCTGATCTGATGGCTTACCGTGCCTCAGGTAACACTGACTGTCAGACTTACGCTCTGCGTTTGGACAGATTCTGCTGGGGGGAACCAGGGCTGGGAGGGGGGGGACCTCGGTCCTCCGGCTGGACCACGGCCTGAAGGGAGGGTAGGCCTTTAGGCGCAGTTACATCCTCCGACCCTGGGACACTGCGCACACAAACACCTTATCGTTTGTGATGTTGTGAGATGCTCTAACAGCCTTGTGGGTTGTCAGGTGCGTAAAACAAAACTCACACAAGAAAAAACAACGACAATAAAAACCGATGGACGAAGAATAAATTAATGGAGCAGAACAGGAAGTTGTCTTCCCCAGATCTCTAGCTCCAGTTTGTACCTGCAGGTCCAGGATCTGACGAGGGCTGATGGGGCTTCTGGACCGGACTCTGGATCGGACTCTGGACCGGACTCTGGATCGGACTCTGGACCTGGTTCTGGATCAGGCTCCTGGGTGCTGGGCGGGGAGCTGCATTCTGGGAAACATCATCACGTCCTTGATCATCTCTTCAATTCCCGTGTATATTTTGTTTTTAAAGGAGCTGATTCAAACTGAAATACACGTTTGTTCTGTTGTTTACAATCAGGCTGCAACTGCTTGTGTTTTCATTTATAATCTGTGCATCATTTTATCAATTAATAATCAATGATTGTTTGGTTCTCTAAATGAATGTAAAATAATGAAAAATGTTCAAGTGACGTCCTCAGATCCGTCCTTTGATCCTGTTGTCTCCGACTGTGGGACACTTCACCTTTTAGCTCTTTGTTCTGGTTCTTTTAAATGTGCTTCAATGAATAAACTTGATTTGATTTGACCAACAGATTAATGGACTCACTGTTGCAGCTCTTGTTTTCTACAAATAATCTTTAGTAAAGTACAGTATAGGTTGTTTTAGTCTGTCCCTGTTATCGGACCAGTCTTCATTTAAACACAGTGTATTTCATATTTGAACATTAGTGTTGAATATAAAGTGATTTCACGATTCTTCTTATAAAGAAAATCTGTGTTTCTGTTCAGAGTAACGACGCTGAAACGTCTCACTGTCACAACAGCTGCACAGGATACATGTTCAACATGTTTAGAACAGGTTCTACCTGGTTCTCTAACGTTCCTCTGCTGGTTCTCGGTCTGTCATCCCTCCATCATCTGACAGAGGAGAAGAGAGGAGAGGAAACACTTCAGTGGAAATAAAGCGTTATCTGACTATAGCTTCTCATCAGACCAGGTCTACATCAGGTCTACATGAACATTTGTAAAACCTTATCTGTGTAACAGAAGAAATGACTGTAACCTGTCTGATACATAATTATTTAACGAGTTTGGAAATAATTTAAATGGATTGAATTTCCTTCTTTGTGAATCTGGTTTTAAAACTTTTTATTGTTTTATTTGTTAATTGCGATGTGACTCTTTGTGTTTATTATTT